ATGGTTATGGGCATCGTTGAACGAGTTTTGCTCCACTAATAGCAGGGATTGACGGATGTCAAGCATTGATTTGTAGTTAGGAAAAAACAATTTTTTGGCGGCCGTTGAAATCAATTCATCCGCTCCTCCATTACCCCTTCTAGCAGCTGCTTAACTCTTGGAGTCATCATCTATGTTGACCCGTCACCACTCTCCTTCACCTAATCAGCTGCAGCCGCCTTTCGCTATCACCATCTGAAAATCATACCATTTGTGGATATAAATTCCCATTTTCTCGTACACAAGCTGCTCCTCCTGAATTCTCGACAATGTCTTCTTCTATACCATCCAAAATGAAGGCCTGGGTTTACAACGAGTACGGCGGCGTTGAGGTGTTGAAATTTGAGGCCGATTTTCCAGTGCCGGAAGTAAAGGATGATCAGGTCTTGGTCAAGGTGGTGGCAGCGTCTCTTAACCCTGTCGATTACAAGAGGAGGCTAGGGAACTTTAAGGCCATTGATTCGAAACCTCCTGTAACTTTCTTTTACTCCTTTTTCTCCAGGTTTTTATTCAGTGTCTTCGTTCCATTATGAGCATGTTTCGATAAGATTAAAATAATAAAAAATTACTCATAAGTCAATTTTTTGATCAGTGAAGCACGCTCATGTCTTGGGAAAACTGAATAATTTATCATGTTCAATTTAGCCCGCTTGTATTAGGTTGAATTATTTTTTATTAGCATACTGATACAGTGGCAAAGCAAGGAATTTTTCTTCAGGTGGGCAAAAGTCATAGCAAATTTTTGAGACGATGTATCACAAATAAAATATTTTAATGCGTTAATATAAGAGTAATGCAATTTAGTCCTACTTGGTTGCAACCCCAATCTAATGGCACTAACGTAGCATTAAATGATAATTGAAATTAAATTGTCACGGGGCCCAATGGGACAACATAGCATTACTCTTAATATAAATATTATCTACGTATTTTTCATATTTTGAAAATATGGTATAATTTTATCGTTATCAATTTCGTTTAATATATCATTCTCAATATCCAATTTGATTGCCTAGATGAATCTTAAGAAGTTTCATTGTTGAAAAATGCAGCCTCAAAATCTTTGAGAAGTCTTGACAATATCCAATTTGTTTTCATTTCTTTTTTCTTTTTTATTTTTCTTTTTTATTTTTTTTATTTTCCAATAGACTGTTCCAGGCTACGATGTTGCTGGTGTGGTAGTTAAAGTTGGTAATGAAGTAAAAGGCCTAAAAGAAGGAGATGAAGTATATGGCGACATAAATGAAAATGCACTAGAACAACCTAAACGATACGGCTCGTTAGCCGAGTACACATCTGTGGAGGAAAGATTACTGGCTCTTAAGCCCAAGAATCTTGATTTTGCACAAGCTGCTAGTCTTCCTCTGGCAATTGAAACTGCCTACGAAGGTCTTGAAACGGCCGGATTTTCTGCCGGAAAATCCATACTCGTTTTAGGTGGTGCTGGTGGAGTTGGATCTCTTGTAATCCAGGTAAAAACCTCTGAGCTGTGATTTAGTTCATTCGAGGGATCAAGTAATTATCTATAAGACAACATTAAGAGCACGTCTGATAACAATATTGGACTGGATCATATAATGAATAAGAGTTTTACTTCATTTTCTTACTTAACTATAATACTATCGAGTCCACTTTATCAAACATGCCACGATGGTTTAGATTCTTTTGGTACTAGGAATTGTTAGCCAACATTTAAACCATCTATGTATTTCTGTGATGCAGCTTGCAAAACAGGTGTTTGGTGCTTCAAAGATTGCTGCTACTGCTAGCACAAGTAAACTGGAATTTCTGAAAAGCTTGGGAGCTGATTTGGCTATTGACTACACCAAGGAGAACTTCGAAGACCTACCAGAAAAATTCGACGTCGTTTATGATGCTGTCGGTAAGACAATATCACAATTGCTACTAAATTTGAAACCGTCTTAATACTGTTAGATTTATTTGGGACACATTATGCGACTAAACATTTCTCCTTCTGATTCAGTGGATGGCCATTGTTTTCATACCCGAGCCATTGGACAATAACTCATTTCGCACCAAAACTGAAAGACTTTTTAACATCTAAGTGGATATGTTAGGAGCAAGTGGATATTTATACAACAAAATTAGTACATCTTTGTCCTAAAAATGAATCATTGTGGTAGGTTAGCGTGTTGTATGGTGTTCTTTTCGGGTATCCCAAGTACCTAAGGTCCTTTGACGTTGTCCGAGGTAAATATGCCTATCCATTACAGTGACAATGTCATGATTGTTAATTTCTTGTGTGAATGGGTTATATGGGGAAGCTTATATAAAAAACTTGGATTCTTTTCTTCTGTTGAAAAATGAACGTGGTACATATTATGGGTGAGTAAGATGTGGTAAAGGAGAAAAGTTTGGGTAGGACGGTCTTATATGCACACGTGATGGGACCGTTCATTCAAATCATGTCACGCCGGACCTTGAGCCACTCAATTCACGACATCTCTGTGTACAAGATGGTAAGATAGAAACAAAGTCAGTGCAAATGCCGAGGTGTCGTGATTTGAATAGACAGTCCTACCACATGTACTTGTAGGACCGTCCTCTAGAAGTTTTGCCCATAACAAAGTCGTGAAAAAGGATTCATATAACATACCTACTTGTCCAGAATAATGCTTTAGTTTTTGTTGTTTGGACTTAGAGGTTGCTCGCAAAGAGTTCACTATTGCTGATTAAAGATGACACCGTTTTTCTTTGAAAAACTACAGGGCAGGAAGATAGGGCACTGAAAGTAGTGAAGGAAGGTGGCAGTGTACTATTAATAGTTGGTGCAAAAACACCTACTGGTTTTTCATTTGTACTTACTTCAAATGGAGAAATGCTGAAGAAGCTAAATCCATTTCTAGAGAGTGGGAAGGTGAAGCCGGTGCTTGACCCCAAGGGGCCATTCCCTTTCGACAAGGTTAATGAAGCTTTTGCTTATCTTGAAACAAACCGAGCCACCGGAAAGGTGGTTATATATCCGATTAATCCGTGATCAGCAACTAGAATACTAAGCTTATTCCGTCTAAAAATATATGATACTATGATGTTAGAATCGCAATGTGGTTGATAATATTTTGAATAAGATTTCAGAATGGCAATGTGGTTGAGAATAGTTTGAATAATTATAAAGTTTGTATGGGGAATTCTGTAGATATTGTTGAAGTGTGTTGTGACTGACATATGTATTAGCTCATGTAAAATGGAGAATAATAAAGATGCAGATATGAATAGTCAGAAAATATGTGGAGTTCTACATTTTTCTTCCTTTTCCTTTCTATATGGTTTTACTTCTTTATTTTATTTTTTATTTTTTTATTTTTGGTAAGAGGAGCAAAGGGTTAATGGTGAAGAACCTCTTAATCTCCCCATGAGTAAATATTGTATCGAGATCTCGATTATGAGTAGCAAACTACAACGGAGTCGTAGATTGAACTTAGGTTGTTGACATCAATTTGCGTGCGAAAGATCGATGTAGATATGGCTATAACTTTATGATTTTCTTCACAATAACATGATAATATTTCTGAATGTGTTCACATGCCCTAATAGGTTTTGGCTTCTATTGGAATTTCCCATAAATGGGAGATGGAGGAACGTATCTCACTCGCTGACTATCAGGGGAGGATCATATGTGTGATCAAGCACCCAAAAGAGAAGAAAAAATAAAAATAAATAAATAAATAATGAAAAATTTAGCAGTTGGCTCATTTCACCAAGTCAATTTGGAAATACAATTCTCGAACATTAGGAAAGATTCTGAATATACTCACAGTGTAGTTTTTAAGATACATTTAAATTTCCAAAATCGTCAAGTGTAGTAACGAGTTAAAAATGATTGCACGAAATGGGGTTTAATAAGCCTAACTCGAGCTCGTCACCATTTTAAAATTATTTTTGGATTATATAACTCGATCGTGAGAGTAGGCTCTTGGTATCATTTTGAAGAATTTGCAATCAGCTATGAGAAATACTTCGAAATGAAAAATCATTAGATGATCGACTTGAAATAACTGGTTAAAGATGGATGGCCACTTAAAATGGAATTAATAATTTTATCTCGTTCAATTGAGACTATAAGAATAATTAAATATAAAAATTCAACCTCAGGTAGTTAGCCCTTGTTTGAGCCACATTATTTTCATAATAATGTATTTTTGAATAGTGTATATCGATGGGATATTTGTGGTTGAAAAAATAAATTTCTAAATTTGTATGTAATATTATTTTATTGAAGAATGTGTTGTTGAGATTGTGTTAAATATGAAATAACTATTTAAGAATGTATTTTTTGAAAGAATGTATGTCAAATAGTAATCTTAGATGACTAATATATACAACTTTCTTTCTCATCGTTCTTCCATATATTATGTTATATTATCTAATTTTATATGTGCTTCGGAGGGCTTTTGAGGGACATAAGGCATTTCTTCTAATCCTGGTCAATTTCCTCAATTTAATTATGCTTTCAAAGAGAGACAGAATAAAATGAAAGACTAATGTTCTAAAACCTTCTCCACAATTTTTTCGACATCGTCAACAACATCAACGCCGGTAAGTTAAAACTTATTTTTAATATGTAAATTCCTTTTCTTTTTTTCTTTACATGGATTTTGAAACGCAAGGTGTTACATTGTTACACATTTTCCACCTCCACTATCGCCACGCAGTTGTTGCCATTATTAATATCAAAGTGTGGTTATTTGTAAGCCTCGATACTCAAGCCGTCGCCCCACACTTATTATATAACTTATTACTCTATGACAACTTATGTTGTCAGCATCGTTGTCGCGCACCACAACTACTTGTTACATACACCACCTCTAGAGTCACCATCAGAACCACTTGTACATACATGGTACACTATCTATGCCGTCACCATTAGTGACCACCTCATTAAAACTAGTCAAAGATTGTCGGCTTTACAGCAGTCCACCCAACTCCATTGTGGTCAATAAATATCCGTCACTGTCACTACCAATAATACACATCCACACGCACATCTTTGAAAAATTGAAGGAGAATGAACTAAAAACATCGTTGGCTAAAATTAACCAAAAACGAATGATAGAGAGGAACATAGAGTGGTGGTCATGATGCGGAGAGAGATGACATTGAAAATGAATTGACGGAGGGAAAGGAATAGTTCATCAATGGTGTAGGGCATGCCCTGGAAGTCCATCCTGACTCTAGGCACCTCTAGCATCATTCATGGAGCCTTCATCGGGTGCACTGCCAACAAGTTCATTTTCTTATCATCTCGATGATCGAATCTTAGACCTGAACCCATATCTTAATCTTGAAACCAATACTAATTGAAAAATAGATGTCTGATCTTCAGAATTCTTGAAAGCACCACTAGGGCTGGACATGGTCCTTTTCGATTCTAACAAGAACCGAACCCGAAATTTTTGGGTATTTAATAAATGAAATCGTCGGATCCAAATTTAATTATAAAACCATTCGGGTTCAGTTCCCAGGTTCCGTATTATAATTAAAAAAATTTAATATTTACAAAGTTACATTAATTCGACTAATGATATATTCAATTTTAACTTTTACAAAATAACGTAGTCCAATCTTATGTATCTTTTGTGTCTCTCTCTGCTGAATTCTTCATAGATTTAATTGTTAAAATTATAGGAAGAGGAAGATAGCGAGCTCAAAATAATTAAACGAGGAGTTGTTAAGCTTCAATTCAATTTCTTCAAAATGGTAGAAATAGTACTACGGTAGAGTAATAGATTTGGATAAAACTTAGGTCGATTTGATTAAATTAGCTTTGAATTGAAAATTAGAAATAGGAAATCATATTTTTGAATTTGAACTAAATTAATTAATTAGCAAATTTATTTAAAAAAAATAAAATAATTTGACTTATTTAAAATAAATTAATTAAAAATATTAGAAAGATTCGGTTCTTATTTATTTTTCGATTCTCGATTCAGATACCTTTTCGGGTCTATAAATTAAGAAGAATCGGTCGACTCGGTTCGAAAGTTTTGTCTAGCCCTAAGCACCACCTTTACTAGTGTACTCAGCATTTGATTCTTACTAAGCTATAGGTAAATTTAATTATAAACAATATCTAATTTTTTTTCTAACTATGACTAAATGAAAAACGTCAAAAGAAGGTGTTAAATATGTTAAAGGAACGCTAAAGGTTGATTGGGTCACATAGTTCTTTCTGTGGATTTCTCTTATTCATAAAAGGCCTAATTTTAAGATGGTCGCCATCTACAAATCAGACTTCGTATTCGATGCTTGTTTATCATGACGTTCAAATATGTTTTAAGAAGTTAATTTTTTTTATTTTATATCTACGTAAAAAGACACATACTTTGACAATAAATAAGAATTATTTTAATTTTTTTAATTTGATTAATAAAATTATTTTAAAATTTACTTAGTTTAAATTTTATAAGCTTAGCCAAACATGGTTTATAATTTGTTTAGTATAACTTTTATCCTATTCTTGATCTGGTTTGCAAAATTGAATGCCACAAGATAAATTTAATAAATTATATAAACAAATAAGCAAGTATGAAAATAATTTTTTTACCGCTCAATATTTATAATTATTAAGTTAATTATCTTAATAGCACCTCCTACATAACCATCAAAATAAATACTTTTTTCAGTAAGAAATATGATTTTACCTAAATATGTCAAAAATAGAAAATTAAAACAACTTTTAAACTTAAATAAAGCCAAATCTAGTCGGTCTCACTCCCTTGTGTTAATCACAATTTATACCTTTGAAGAATGCTGGCCATGTTAAATTAATTGTAATCATGCTAAGAATCAAGAATCACAAAATAATAAATTGATAAATCGAATTCATACCTGCGGAAGCCATTGTTGATATGAATAGTAGTTGTAATAGCAGCCAAAATCTTCCCCTCCTTACAAACTATGCAAAATAAAAATATTGGATTGCTTCTACAAGAAAAATATTAAATTGCATTTTAAATTTACAATTTGTGCATAAAAATGGCATGAAAGTATCCGGTCAAGATATATATATATATATATTTATTTATTTATTTATTTATTTTTTTCTTTTTCTCACAATGTAACATGCACGGAACTTTCATAATTGAGCAATAATAAAATTTGAGTTCAAGACAATTTGAAATGTCCGAGAACCCCATAAAGTTATATTAGATCGATCTGTATAAACATCAACAATTACAAATTGGATTAGTTTCTCTTTGACCCAAATAGACCTTGCTCGCTAGTATTTGAGCAATTCTTCCTGTTGTTTTTACAGAAATTCATTTAAAAAGTTTTACAACATTAAAAAATTTGTAAATATTATATTTATATGTTGGACATGGCATACAAGTCGAGACATTTTTCTTCGAAAACGACACTGTTACTTAATTGTCAAAGATCCAAATTATTCAAATTAAATAAGCCTGAGCAAAATTAATATCGTTCCATTTGTTGTTACAAGCTTGTTCTATTGCAGTTTTCCTTGTTCGGCAATTGTCCCATTCCATGTTGGAATATCTTTTTTCCAGTTTTCAAATATTTAATAAACACAATAGTTATAATTTCAGAGATAGCCACTGAAAAATTTATATTAGTCATTAAATTATATTTGGGCCATATTTAGTTGATAATATTATACAAGTCATAATATTGACTTATTCATATGATAAAACTACAAATTTTCAAAGTATAATGTGATCCTTGAGGAAAAGAACTCGTGTTCGATCAAGACATTGTAAATTGTCCTTTTAGCATTTGTCATATTTTTCATCTTTAATAAATACTAAAAGTGTCCCGATGGAGGAGGAAAGAGTCGAGTGCTTTAACGACCATTAGTCATGTGAATGTTTAATTGTTGGTGCGCTGGATGAAATTATTTAATTTTTATGACTAAATGAGTCGCAGGAAATATTTAATGACCACTTAGAAATTTTGCTTGAACTTCAATGACTAATAGTGAAATTAACTCATGAATAAACTTCAACGATTGGCCCATGACTCTTTGGTGTATAACACCAACATATGTCATCACAACCCATCACTTCACCAAAAAGGAATAGAAAAGGAAAAGTACAGCAAAAATCATTCAAAACAGTTTGTTTATTACTCGATCAAGTGCAAAATGTCAGTGACATATCCTTTCTCTACACCATAGTTAAATAATTATACAATGATATGCCTGCACTTTTGATGATCATCACCCTTCACAAATTTAAGTACAAGATTGTTCAGTTTTCTGCGGCATAATCATATCCCTTTATCAAGATGACTACTTTGAAATCATTTGATTGTTTAATTCAAATTCTGGCCCTGTACATGATTATTGTTCCCTTAACAATCCCCTTCCAGGCCTCAGCCAATGAGTGTGTTCTTGATTTCAATGTGCCATCAGTTTTGAATTATTCAAACTTGAAAGCAGGCAACTGGGATGGCTTCTTGAATGACAGTTTTTGTGGGAAACCATTTGTTCGATATATTTACTCACTGGGACGACTAGCCAATCAAACCGGACTAATATTCTTGAATGCGACAGAGCAAAATAACTGCTTGTATAGTTTCGAGACTGAAGAGAAAGATGTTTTTAGTTGTGGGATCGAGAGATTAACAAGTGGATTATATGGAGAATGCTCTGATTATTCAGTGACAGATGTTGTCAATAAGTTAGGAAGTAGATTGAAAAGTTTCGGTGAAGATTGCAAGCTTTTGGGATCTGATGGTGGATCAGATGAGATGTGTGGCTCTTGTTTGAGGAGGTGGGACGAAATGAGCACTTCACCTAACAATATCAGCAATGATGGGATCAAAGTAGAAGCCGATATATGTAGGTTTGTGCTGTTGGTTTCATTGACAAGCCAAAGAATGAATGATGCAAAATGGCTCCAATCAATCTATAACTGCCTTGGAAATAAGAATCTTCCTTTAGGTAGCCTAATATTGAGAATTTCAAACTCTTGACTAATATTAATCTTGTTGGGTAATAACTATAATCTTCTGCAGCTGATCAAGCAAAAGTTGAAGAGCATCATAAGTCCCACAAAGGTATATCCTGATCCTTGAACGAAAATAATCAGCTATACGTCTTTAGTAGAATTCTTAACCATTCTAGTGACTATACAGGCCGGGAAGTCCTGATTGGTGGTGTGGTGGGGATTACAATAGTTTTAGCTATTGCATTGCTGATCCTGTGTAGAAAATCCAATAAAGGAGAGTGTGCAAAAGGAGTCGATGGTAAGACTTAATGACAATTTACCATGATGTTGAAATAGATTATAAGCTGTGAATAATTCCTAGCTAATTTTGTTTAACTTAACAGCGAGAATTGACTTGATCTCTGAAGAATCCGGCTATCATAAGATTTCTCTTAAAGAAGTATATTCAGCCACAGACAATCTCAGTGCTGATAACTTCATTGGCCAGGGCATAGCAGGTAAAAACTTATCCATTTCAATAGGATGGACTTCATTCTTCTACATTCAAGGCATTAGTCAATGGAAAATCGCATTTGATGCGTATTTAGAAAAAAATATTGTTCATTATGGTGAATGAGATCAGAATTTCATTATCATTCCTATAATGGCTCAGGCTGATGCACAAAAATGTACACAGCAAATGGCTTCCTTATTTAGTTCTTTGGTGAAACAATAATATTAACATCGTTGAAACACTCAAATGTAGAAATTCAACTGGACAATTTCCCAGAATGCATGTATTCAGAACTTTAACTGGGAGTAGCTTAGAGGATCACCTTGAAAGTTGAAAACATTTTGCGGAATAGAACTCCTTCACATAACTTCTGCCAAGACAACTTGATAAATACACTATTTTTTAACACGAGCCATCATTTTTCTCCGAAATTTTTCTTTATATGGATCATTTGTATTGAGAGTTTAGTTTTTCAATGATTTTGCCATTCTACAGGGAAGGTATACAAAGGAATTCTATCAGATGGTCAGCACATTGCAGTTAAGCACTTAATAAATGATGGCCACATGGAAACATTTGTTAGAGAAGTTACTAGCCTAGCGCACGTCAAACATCCTAACCTTGTAGCACTATTAGGCCATTGTGATGGACAAGACGAGTGTTTTTTGGTTTATGAGCTGTGTCACAATGGAAACCTCTCAGAATGGCTATTCGGTATACTTAGTTATTCCTATTTTATTTCTTTGGAAGAAAAGTATTGTATCAAGATTTTCATGTTCCCTGTACAAATGTCTTTGAGCAGGTAAAGATAAATTTCTTACTTGGATCCAAAGACTTGAAATTGCAATAGACTGTGCCACAGGGCTCTGGTTTCTCCATACATATCCAGAAGGATGCATTGTTCATCGTGACATCAAGGTATAGCTGTCACTTATTCACATAATTTTCCTCTTTTAGACCTCTGATTTTTATTATTTTTTTATTTTTTTCTGTGGTGTCTTTGTCAATTTGACCTATTGCAGCCCGCAAATATCCTTATCTGCACCAACTTCCGAGCCAAACTGTCCGACTTCGGGTTATCTAAAGTTATCTCCGTTGGCCATTCCTATGTTAGCTCAGAAGTGCGAGGAACATTTGGTTATGTGGATCCCGAGTACCAGAAGAACCGCCATGTTAATTCTTCAACTGATGTTTATAGTTTTGGTATGGTGCTTCTGCAACTTTTATCAGGACAGAGGGTTATCAACATGGACTTGACAAGACCAATGCCTTTGAGCAAAATGGTAGGAAATAATTGTCTGTTGATCTAAAGTTTTTTCAACCTTTTTCATTTTTCATCTGAGATGATTCTATTAGCATTATGTAATAATTTCACTAATGAATCCAGGCTAAGAACCTCAGAAAGGGCGGGCATGTATCAGAATTTGCTGATCCCAAACTAAATGGGGAATATTCAGTCGAGGCTCTTGGACTTGTATTCACTCTAGCTTTGTCCTGCACTGCGCCTAAGCAACAACGACCATCCATGGAACAAGTGATCGCATCTCTTGAGAAAGCCCTTCAAATTTCGAAAAAATGAAGTGCTCTAAACCTTCATTTCAATCTATTTAGAAGACTACTATGCTGTAAAAGGGGATAAAGTTTTGTAAGGACATACTTTTGTTGGCAGAATGGGAAAATTACACGACTGTCTTCTGTACAAAGATTTATGGCAACCAGATGCCAAAAGAAAAGTATAGTATAAATGATATATAAACTGAGAACAGCTTAATTTGAGATGGAGTCATGGAGACAGACTTTCTTTTATTGCTCTGCAACATTATTATCATTATTAACAGTAGGAAAATGAATTACAACTCAACATGTATTTGTACACACCTTCATCATAAATATAGAAGCAGTTTAGTGACCAGCTCTTAAAAAATCGAGCTACTGTCACTAAATAAAATATATGACCATGTTTATATACTATATATGTAACAGATACTCGTAGTATGGATGAGTAGCCAAAGAAAAAAAGTATCGGCTACCACACGTGAATGAATTGTTCAGGTGGAAGGGCTGGAGCCATCAAGCCGGAGGAGCTTTTTTCATTGAAGGCGTGTAGGATTCTGATGAGTGAACTGGCTTTCTTGCTTGCTCGAGGCGTGCCATCAGTGAGTAGGGAATACAAAGATACCATTAGAGACGGGCTCTTTACTAAAAGAGGAACCACGTCTGCTCCATCATTAATGCACAAGGTGAGTAACAATGAGACGCAATACTCTTTTGCTGCTTGTGAATTCAGAGAACCGAGAACCTCAGAAATTACAGGTAAAGTTCCAGCACTCATAATGGCCATTGTTCCATCAAGTTTTTCAGCTATAGTTGCTAAAATTGCTAGTGAATCTGTTATAAGATCTTCCCTTTGGGAAGATGTAAGCAGATTAACGAGTAAAGGGACGAATCCAGCTGCTAGCACCCGCCATAGGTTTTCAGGGTTCATAATGAGGCTGAAAATACTGACCAATGCTTTCTTCTTGGCACGATCAGGCCCATCCTTGACCAACTCCATTAGAGACGGAATAGCATCCGGAACCTTCCCAATCATTTTGCGGTACTCCTCGACTGAAGCAAGGTAGAACAACGTGCCAGCTGCATACTGGCGGGCTTCTATCCTCAGTCCCTCGTTTAACACCCCTACTATCAGGTTCAATCCTCCACTCTCAATCATCATCCTCTTGCTTTTTGAGTACTTCGAGAGATTCATCAAAGCTGCAATCGCGTTCTCTTGTGCTGCAGGATTGCTTGAACTAATCAGATTCAAGAGAGGCGGGATTGCATCAGCTTCCACCAAACAAGACCTATTAAAAACGCTTGTTTTGGTTAGCAGACGAATCTCATAAGCAGCTTTGTGCTGTTCTTCAATCATTCCACCCATTAGCCTTCCAACGAGAAAATAGGCAAGCAGTGTCATAACTTGCTCAGCTGTGACACTACCTGCACCAGCTAACCTTTGTATATCATGATTACGCCCTCCGGTTTCAACAAACGGGATTCTATTCTCCAAAAAATTTTGTTTAATGATTCGCTTAACAGCCAAATTCGGAACCAGATCTACTGATATAAGCCTCTCACCCGTCTTCGGACAGGTATGATTTCCCGACTTGAACCATTTCATGATTGAGGACCGATCATACGTGTGCCCAGTCGATATTGTGACTGGATCAATCATGATCTCCAATGTGATTGGACACCTGAGATCATCAGGATTCAAGCACCTAATCAGATCACTGATGCAGCTTACACCATCAGATTGTCTGATTGGTGCATTGTCCACAATAACAAAGAGGGTGCATCTGCAGTAGATCATGAATGCCATTAGACTACTGAGAAATCCCACTTCTCTTTTCTCAGCGGTTAAACACTCCTGCCCTATCTCACCTTCCAAGAACTTGACTTCTTTATTGCATTCGGCCCAACTTTGTATTCCCAAATACTCAAGAACCCGCGTTAAATCACCATTTTCAGGAACAATTCCGTTCCCAAATCGTTCTAAAACTCGAACAACCTTCCTTGAAGCTCGTCTATCATCCACTTCCACATCAAATTTTGCCTTGAGTGCTTGCCTTCTCACAAACTCAACCAATTCTCTTACTTCAACACAAACATCCAATCCGTCCAACAGCAAAACATCCAAAGCCACATCGATAGATCTCACAAGCACACGAAACTGAGTTGATACATGTTCCGACTTCACCAGCATCCATATCCTAGCATCATCTCTGCTACAATCCTCCAAAAGGAATTGAACCTTTTGGAAGATGAAATGAAGCTCAGACAAGCCTAAAACCAAGGTGCTTTCAGTTTTTGAATTCCCATTTCGTATTTCTCCGAAAAAAACAAGCAAATTCTCGATCAAATGGATCAAGACTCTTGCATGTTTCTTGTTCGTAAAGAAAGTTGTTGACTTGTATTCACATATGGTATGACATAAGTCGATTAAAGAATTCACGAGGCTAGAGAAACAAACCGACACACAAGGATGAATTGCTGGAAAATGCAAAATCCGGCGTGTGAGTTCATAGGATTTATTGATCATTGAGTAATAAAGATCAAAATTCAAAATTACGATAAAAATTAAAAGATGGAAAATCAAGAAACTATATAAAAATCAAAGTAAATTGTTTGTATGTATTGATTGGAAAAAAAAAAAGGACAAATGTGACTTTTGTTGTGGTGGACATGGGATTATTCGTATATATAGGCTGTTTGACTATAGGAGGATAAGCATTTGAAATGGAGGCTTCATTGAGATTTTCATGAACGAATTATAAATTGACACGTAATGGGAGCATTATTTGTACGTGCAATAACGTGTAGCCGACATTTTTGCAATAAAATTTGTGACATTATTACTTATTAGCGTGAAGCTATCTGCACGATTAAATTTTTATTATATGAGATCGTAATGATAAATTCTAGAAATAATGTGAATAATTATTTAAGACATTTGCAATGGTTACTTTAATAATTTAGATTGATTATACATGTCTACACGTGTAAATTATAAAATTTGAGTCCGACCTCTCGACCCTTGTTTGGTCGGGATAAGGTTTGGGATATGTCATGCTACTGGCCGAATTATCTTGAGAGGTGGGCCGATCATTGCCATATTTGTTTTGTAAGAAAATCGACAGAAAGATAAGAGAAGTTTAAAGGCTCCTCTGCCTAATCCATGTTAATATTTATTTATAATCATGCTAAGAATCGATAATCACAATCCAATAAATTTAATAGAAACGAATTTCATACCTGCGGAAGTCATTGTTGATATGAATTATAGTTGTAATAGTAGACAAGTTCTTCCTCTCCTTGCTCCTCACAAAAGTATTAGCTATCAATGGGGCAAGTTAATGAAAAACATATGGAGAGGAGAGGGGACCTAGCCTTTATATATAGGAAATAATTTGAGCCGTCCCATTACGACTAGAATTCTAATTTGGGTTTATTTCCGATCCACATACTTTAAATTACCACATCAAATTAATTACAACCCGTAAGGTGTAAAAAGCCCAATTGATCACTTAATAAATTTGGCCCAAACACAATTATCATTATGAGCCATATATCTAACCCGTAAAATTTTGCAATCGAATGTGAAGCCCATATATGAAATTATTAATTATTCCAACATTCTCCCACTTGGGCAAATATTTGATTGACATAACAAAGTTTTAACACCCGGGTTAGACTGCATAGGTGGCCACAAAAGTATAGCTCCAATGATGACACCTTACGTAACATGATCCGGTCCAATAAGAATATTAACACCGAACATGGAAGTCATTACACCAATTTAAGAGATGTAAGACCATTCCACGGCTACAAATGCCAACATCCTTATCGACATGGATCTCCATCCTCCAACCAATGTGGTAGTATGTGGTATGAACTTAGCACCAAATGTGATCAAAAACTGTGCTAACTCATATCGGTCCTCATAATGTTTCGAATCAAAATGAAGCCACATGTCTCTAAAAGAGACTCATCTTATGTCTTTCAAAATATCAATAATAATAAAAAAAGACATAAGTCATTCATGCTTAAAAATAGTTCATATATAGGGGAAAAATTATTTTATTATCAGAAGGGGCTGTACCCGAAAGCATATGGGTTGCCTACGTATCCCGCAAGGGATCAAGCCCAAAACGTAGTTCTTTACATAAATAACTCCCACTAACCAAAAATTTCAAATGTTTCCACAATACCCATATTAGTAACATGTGTCTTAAAGACTTTTGGAGCGAGTCCCTTAGTTAAGGGATCTGCAACCATCGTCTCTGTATTAATATGCTCTATTTTCGTCTGTCATTCTTTGACTCTGTCTCTAACAACCAAGTATTTGATGTCAATATGTTTTGATCCACCAGAACTTTTATTATTCTTTGAAAAGAATACTGCTACACTGTTATCACAGTAGATGGTGATCGGTCTTGAGATAGAATCAACAACTTTCAAGCCAGAGATAAAATTTCTTAACCAAACGGCTTGGACTGTAGCCCATAATATGCCACAAATTCAGCCTGCATAGTAGAAGATGCCACTAAAGTCTGTTTAACACTTTTTCAAGAAATGGCACCACCAGCTAATGTAAAAATATAACCCGAGGTTGATTTCAAATCATCTTGACATCCAGCAAAATCAGAATTTGAATATCCTACCACCTCAAGATGATTTGTACGCTGGAATGTAAGCATATAACTTTCAGTTTTCTTCAAATATCTCATAACTTTCTTAGCTGCTTTCCAATGTTCTTGTCCTGGATTACACTGAAATCTGCTAAGGACACTTACTGCGTAGGCTATATCCGGTCTAGTGCAAACTTGAGCATACATCAAGCTCCCCACAGCACTAGCATATGGGATCATCTTCATAGACTCCCTTTCCAGCTCATTCCTTGGACATTGAGTTTTATTAAACTTATCTCCTTTTATGATAGGTACATCACCAGGTGCACAATTCTGCATATTAAACCTTTCTAGAACACGTCGTATATAAGCTTTCCGAGAAAGTCCAATGAACCACGATTTCTATCACGATGTATTTCAATGCCAAGTACATAGGAAGCTTCTCCAAGATCTTTCATCTCAAAATTAGCAGACAATATTTTCTTTGTCTCATGAAGCAGCCCTAAGTTACTGCTAGCAAGTAGAATGTCATCAACATACAATATAAGGAAAATAAAATTTCTCCCACTGATTTTAAGATAAATGCATTGATTAATAGTATTTTCGACAAAACCAAGAGATGTCACAACGTCATCAAAACCTTCAGGTTGTCTCATGTAAATATTTTCAGAAAGATCTCCATTCCCTATGTGATCTTCTAACTTGTGGCTAAAAAACTGACCCAATTGTTGTTAGAGGAATTTGGAAGTTCTTATTAGTTTCTTGGTTCTTCATTAACAACATCAACTAATTGAGAACAAACCTTTTATTTTTTATTTATTTATTACTTTTTTTTTTTGTATAACAGAATTTGATTTGGTTCAACAAAAGTTCTCTCAATGTGAAACTCCTACTATTGCCAAAATCATTTTCCAAAATTTTATCAGTAACGGATTCAACAATTCTAGTGGCATGATGTAGACAGTAGAACTTATGTGCTTTTGATTTGTCTAGGTACCCAATAAAGCAACCAGGAGTGAAGTTCGAGTCTAATTTTCTTTTCAAATGGATTATAAATCCTAACATCTGTTGGACATCCCCAAATTTTAAAATGAGCCATGCTTGGCTTACGTCCTGTTTATAATTCAAAAGGTGTCTTTGCAACACTTTTACTTGGAACCCTGTTCAAAATATACATAGCTGTTTTCAAGGTTTCACCCCACAAATTGTTTCTTTACTTTCAGTTTGAAAACTTTGAATTTCTCAAGTGCATGTGATTTGTCGTTAATCAGATAAACATATCCATATCGTGAGAAATCATCAATGAAAGTTATGAAATATTTATTCCCACATATAGTGGAAAGCAAAGGTCCACTAATATCAGTGTGAATTAAGTCCAAAATTCCATTACTCTTTGTCGAACCCTTCCTCGTAGACTTAGTTAATTTTCCTCTTATACAATCTATACAGGTGTCAAAATCGGAGAAGTCTAAGGAAGGAAGTATCTCATCTTTTACTAATCTTTCCATTCTTTCCTTAGAAATATGACCCAATCGCTTATACCACAACATAGAGGATGATTCACGAATTAAAGTCATTTTCTTTGATACATTTGTAACACACGAGACATCACCAAAAGAAGCCAAAGATAATTTGTATAAACCATCATATAAAATGCCATTTCCAATCAAACGAGAATCATTAAATAACTTAACCATTCCATTACCAAAAGTAAATGTAAAACCACAAGCATCAAGTTTTGGTATAGAAATTAAATTCTGTCTCATCTGCGGTACATAAACTATATTTTCCAAAACAAGGTAAAAACCAGACTCTAAAGTTAACTTCACTACTCCTATGAATTCAACCTTCACTTGGAATCCATTTGCAACGCTCAAGCTTACTTCATTCTTACTTGGCCTCCGTTTGCTTATGAACTCCTGCAAGGAATTCTCAATATGAATACTAGCTCCTGAGTCTAACCACCAAGAATTCAAAGGTACATCTACTAAAGAAAACTCAAAACAAACTAAGGCCAAGGGAATACCTGAAGAACTCTTCTTTTCCAACCAAGTCTTCAACTTAAAACAGTCTTTCTGCCAGTGACCCTTCTTTTTACAGAACTTGCATTGATCATTTTTCTTTATAACTGCTTTGGGACCACTAAGATTTTTATTCTGCTGATTTCGGTGGGACTTATTACCCTTACGAAACTTAGGTTTATGATTATGAGAAGGCCCCTTATTCTGTGATGGCTGGAAAGCTAATTGTACAGTTTCAACAGTTTCACGGCGCATCCTATACTCTTCTTGGGCACACACTGCTATGAGGTCATTCAAATTCCATTTATCCCGCTGAGCATTGTAAGCAACCTTAAACTAATTAAACTTGCTAGGAAGACTATTCAAAACATAATAGACTAGGAAAGGCTCCGCAATGGGAATATCAAGAGCCTTTAGCTTAGATGATATATTTATCATTTTCATAATATGCTCCCTAACACCACTTGTGCCATCATATTTTATACTCATCAATTTATCCATTAGATCCCCAATTTCGATTTTATCAGACTCAATAAATTTTTCTCCTATGGCATCCATAAAACCTTTGGTATTTTCATTATTAGGGATGACACCTAGAATGGAATCAGATATCGATCGCTTAATGATTTTCAAACAGAGTTTGTTAGCCCTTTCCCACTTTTCATGCTCGGCTACATATTCAACGGTACTCTTATCTGTGGGTTTTTCAAGCTTTTTCTCCATTGCAAAATCCAAGCCCAAAAGACCAAGTGTTATTTCTACGTCTCGTTTTCATCTCACATAGTTATTCCCAGTCAATGTTTCAATAGCAAACAATTGATTCGAAAGAGATGAGGTATTATAAACTGTGGAAACATAAAATATCACACTCTTAATATCATCCAAACTTAATGCATGCAATCAAATGGATGATGAAATATCCAACTAATTAATATGGGCTATTAATTAGATAATCCGTAATTTAAATCGAAACATATGAATTTTATTATGGCAAGAG